CCCTCCCCAACGCTGGATTCATTTATGGTTTTACCGAAGAATTATACTGGAAAAGTTGTGGAGGATATGAACTGTAAAATGGCGGCGCTCTGACCACCATTACTGTTCCATTGCTGCTCCTTTCATGTGGTCAGCTCAGCTGATAATCATTCCATAGTTTTTGGAAGCAAAGCGGCATCAATGGATAGCCAGATTGCTGAGTGTATCATTCATTTCCCCCCTTTTCTTCTTCGAAAGCTCGAAAATAATGCTGCTTATATCGCGCCTTGTCAGCATCTCACTTTTTTCAATATCCAAAAAAAGCAAAAAAGGAAAATAGTGATAACTGGAAATAATGATAAAAATGATGATAATTTTATCAAAAATCATTATTTAATTATCATTGTTACTTAACGGCAATTAAATAATGATTTTATAGATTAGTAAATTGCTCATTTTTGCTAAATTGACAATTTGGAGTGAGATCTACCTTTCTTACTCTGACTGGGTTTTGAGCCAAGCAACATGAGCCTCAATTCGCGTTCCTCCTCATCCTGATCTCGGTATTTTTTCTTGATTTTTTCCGCTTTATGTCTCTGTCGTAGTGTCATCGGACGTACTTTTCCACCACCATCACCGTCTTTCGTTTCCTCGTCTTTTTTCATCTGCTCCGCGCTCCTTGTATCGTCATCTGCTGCTTTTACTGTAGGCCTTTGAGGCGCCGATGGGCCTACTTGAATTATCGTATAGTCTTCGTCTGCACCAGTGCCTTTCACATGCTGCACAATATTGCTTAAGCTAACCTGAAAATACATGAATTTTCAAATTTTTTCAAATTTCAATATTCAATTTCAAACTTCGATAAAAATTCCAAATTTCAAACGAACCTGAAATCAAATTTCCAAAAAAGAAATCAAATTCAAAACTAAAAGAAATTTTCAAAAAATGAAAAAAATTTTAGCATAATCCAAAAAGCAGTGTTTTCAGCAGGCTGACCCATGTTGGTGCCCTGGGAATTCTTTTTCAAACACGATGGTGTGGGACGGTTACTGCCCCGTGGATCTCAACAGTTGATTCGGTTCTTCAACGCAACGATACTTCCTTCCGACGACGTTTATCAGTTTCGACGAGTACTGGTCGATGCCGCGGTCACTTCCCAACAAAAACTACGAATATTCTGGTAGGCTTTTGATATTCAACAAAGGTTGTTTCAGCACAGACCACTGGAAACAGAAGCATTGAAAGAAGCTGTCGATTACGCATCTGCAGAATCGGCTATGTCTTACAGCTGATACAACTAATTTCTCCAAATATCACCCTAAAGCATCTTGGTTTTTAGCTATTATCATTGTATTTCAGTACATTTTAAGCCGAAGATTTAGCTGTGGATGTGAGATTCAATTTCTCTTAACGATTTCATCTTACTTCCAGTTCGTTTCACGCCTAATTCACACCGGATTCAAAGCCTTTTTAACCTGAATGTCTGGGAAATCATAGTTCCCGTCATCGGAATCCTTCTCGTCGCTTTCTTCGTTTTCGCTTCCGTGCACAGAGACATCATCGTCACTTCGGGACCCCACAGCTCCTGATTCGTCCTCCTCAGTATGCGCAATCGAAACTTTCCGCTCCTCAACATGCCGTTCCAGAGAATCATCATCCAGCTTGAACATAACGCCGAATCCCATTTGCAGTTGACAGAGGGGCAAAAAGTTCTTTTTTCCACGTATCATGAAACTTCCAGCAGTCAAATATTCACCAGTTGGTGTTGTCCTCGAAACCTAAAAAACGAATAAATTTGCCTCTCATTCAGTTATCATGGACTGTAATCATAGGCGGTTCCAGGATGGAATTCGCGTGGGGAGGGAGAGGAGTCCCTTCATATTCTGGAACTGTACAAAAACTAGGAATAGAGTTGTAATATGGCTACTTAGAGCTATTTTAGTTTAGAGTTAGTTTACTTTGGTTTATTTACGCAATTTGAATTTTGAAAGAAGCAAAAAAAAGTGAAAAAGAAGTTACCTGATTCTGGTAAACCCACCACGCGCGATCAGATACTTTTGCTTCCCATGCTGAGGAATAACAGACAGCCATTGTGCCAGCTTCATTCAGTGTTTTTGGTGGTATCTCTCCACCACCCATTTTGTTACGTATAACAACTGATGAGGCACCACGAAGATCCGCATGAACATAAACATCACCTGGCCGAAGATACCTAGCAAAAACAACAGAGAGACTAACAACTGACCAGTAAAACAACGACTCTAACACAACAGGAATTCAGCGATAAAACTGTTCGAAAAAATGCTAAACTGGTACAATAGCATAATGGAACCTGGAGATAGGGAGGAGTGCTTTTATACCCCGGTGGGCCACAGATCACAAAGACTGCGCAACTCTAAAGGGAGCAGGGTTCCCAAAGACTAAACCGGGGACCAAGTGCGTTGTATCATAATGATGCAACGGCTCCTTATGCAATTTTTAACAAAAAGCAATAAATCATTATGCGACAGATGTACGTGTGCTACTAACGTATCATCAATGTCTGGTTCTTCACAACTGTCAGTTTTGGCAGTGTTTCTTCCACATTCTATTCATTACCCATACACACGCGGTAAAAAATGCCATAGCAGATTTAAAAATGCCTACCTTTTCACTAGCAATTCATTTTGCTGAGCATCACGACCTCCGATTACCAAATAATTTTCCGAGCTGACAAACCAAAGAAATTTTTCAAACCACATCATACGTCGTTTTTTCAGTATATCAGTTTTTGCACGGACCTTAAAAAAAGTGGGGTGAAATCTGTCTCGGGAAAAAAACTTCTGAAATTTCATCTGATATAAGTTAATGGACCGAAAAATTTCTTACCTATTACAAATTTTTCCTTAGTCCCCTTTCCCCATCTTACTTCGCTTTTTCTTTGTTTTCTTTCCTTCTTCATCTTTTCTACTTCATTATTTTCTCTTCAACCTTTAATAACATAATGTAACATAATCTAACACTGCATACTGATCTTCACAACTCCGGCCTCCTATATGACGAAAATTTTTTCCTTCAGTTTTTAAAATTTTTTCAGATTTTTCTTCAGAAAATTTTCTTCAAATTTTTTAAAACCACAAATCCTACCGCTTCCACGGTTTCTTTTGTTTTCAGTTGTGCCGTTTTCAGCACTTTTGTCGAAGCAGACACAGTTTTACGCTGTTTCTCCATTGCAGCTTTCTTCTCCGTATAATATTTTCGCGCATTTTGATAGGCTGATAATCCGATATCAATTGTTACCTAAAAATCGCGCTTTCAGTAATTATCAGTAAAATAGCACTATTCTAGTCAGTCAGATGCTTCATCATTAGCTAGAAGTGACGTTCGCAGCAGCTAGGAGGCGTTGTCTGGTTTGGGACACACATAGTGCACCTAGGAACGGTTAAATTCTTGAACAGGTGCTTCTATTAGGAAAATTGTCGAGCAGGTAATCTCCGCAGCAGAGAAGATGAATGTCAGGATCGCCAAAAAGTTAAAAATCACGTAATTCAGCATTGATTAAGGCAGCTGCTAAAAGTTGTTAATTG